AACATTTCTATACAATAAAAATCATGTGAAACAAAGACTTTTTTTTTTAATCAAATTTACATTGTATTATATTTCATCTATAGTCAATATGAATATATATATTGTAATTCAAATACAAGTTCGATAGTCTATAGTCAATCATGAAATTTTATTCATGGTAGCTATTTCTATATTTAAATATCCAATTATAAACGTTCTGTCATCATAAGAAAGGCTAATCCATGACAACAGAAGTGTATTGTATTTACAAAATAGGTATTGATTATTGAAAAGGTAAACGTTCGTTTAGTGTAAAGAAAAGAAATTAAAATGACTCAAACTAAAGATAAGCCAGGTAGGTAATATATGATAATAAAATATTCTTTTTCATATTTTATTAATCAGTAGGAAAAACAATTCATGATCTTGTACGAGAAAATAATGTTAAAGATCTTGAATTAATTGTTGGTCGAGGAGCAGGTGTTAATGAAATTGATTTAAATAATGATGATAAATTTACACCTTTACATTGGGCAGCTTATGCAGGAAGTTTAGAGGTTAAAATTTACTCTATAATCTTATAATTATTAGCTTTTGTTTCTTTTTTTGTGAAAAGGCTATGCATTGGCTTTTATGGCAAGCAGCGAATATGGATGCTGCAACAGCTAAAGGGTGGACACCAGCACATATTGCTGCAATTCGAGGACATGATGCATGTGTACAAGTAAGATTTGTTTGAAAATTTTCTCATCTATTTGAAAATATGGATAGGCTTTAATTAATAATAATGTTAATATAAATACACGTGATCGTCGTCAACAAACTTGTCTTCATATGGCTTGTGCACATGGAAATTCATTTGTTGCTCATACACTTCTACGTGGTGGAGCCGTAAAGTTCTTTTATATATGTATATTTATATTTATAAATAAGTTATTATTTAAGGAGATCAATCATCAAGATGTGAACGGATGGACACCAGCTTTTACTGCAGCTTATCATGGTAGACTTGGATGTTTACAAATGCTTGTTAAATGGGGTGCGAAATTAAACGAGGTTGATAATGAAGGAAATACAGCTGGTAAGAATTCGTTATTTAAACATTTTTCGAGTGTATATAATGTTGAATTACTTATTTAGCTCATCTTGCTGCTTTGGAAGGTCATTTACCATGTTTAAAATTTATTATTGCAGTTACTCGAGATATACCAGCAGTATTAGGTGCACGAAATGATCAAGGTGATACACCAAAATCTTTAGCTGAACAATTTTTTAAAGAAGATTGTTGTAAATATTTGGATGCACTTGAATGGGAACAAGATCATCCTGAACAAGCTGAAAGTAATAACAAAAATTAATTTGGAAATAAAAAGAAATATTTTTTTATTTATAGATCTCGCTTTTCCTGCACATGTTGCTGCATATAATGGAGATTTAGAACATGTAAAATTATTAGTTGAACAAGGTGTTATTAATGTAAATGAACGTGATGAACATGGTTCAACATTAGCTCATAAAGCAGCTGGACAAGGACATTTAGATATTCTTTATTGGTTACTTGAAAATGGTGCAAATATGGATTTACAATCACAAAGTGGTGAAACACCTAAAGATGTAGCACGACGTTATGGTCAGTTAGCTTGTTTGAAACTGTTAGGTGGAGGTGCTGAAAAATCTGATGGAACTCAACAGAGTGGACAAAATGAAGTAAAAAAACAAAGTGAACAAAAAAGATTAACACCAAAAGAAGAAGAACGTCGACGTGCTAAAACAAAACTTGATGATTTACAAAAACAAATTGATATAGCTAAAAAAAATTTTCGACAATTTGGTGGACATCTGGATGAAGATGAACAACATGAAGCACATCAACGAGAAATACAAAAGTATTTATTTATTTATGAAAAATATTTTATTTATTTTTATATCTTTAAGAAAATTTGATGATTATGAAACACAATTAGAATTTGAAAGACTTAAACGAGAAAAACTTGAAGCTGAATTAGATGAATGTCGACATGAAATTGCTCGTCTTATTAATACTATACGTTCATATGAAGAGAGAATGATACATGTTCAAGTAAGATTTTTATTTGTATATGATTTTTTAAATTATTGGAAAAAATATTTATTTAGCAAAGACCACCAAGTAGAACACGTACACAAAAAATTAAAAAACCATCATCAGCATCATCAAATAAACAACAAAGACGTGTTGAAAAACAAACAGGACTTGTATTTATACGCAGAAATTCAGTTAATTCTTGATAAATTTTTGATACATCCATAAAGGTGATGAGAGTTTTTTTATTATAATTTTTATTCTTTAAATGAATTTTAAAGATATTTTCTCACTCAGTGGAAGCGGTAAATCTTTTATTTAAATGCAATTCTGAAAAGGTCAGAATGGATACCATCAATCATTTAATGTTGTTTTGAAGATTTTTAAATCTTTCATTGACAGATCTTCGTCTATCATTCATTTTAAATCGATTAATATCATCAATATCGATATTTGAAAGACCAATCTTATGTAATAAATCTTTGATTTGTTCATCATTTAAATGATTACACAATGAAAGTAATTCAATAACACGAGATAAGATATTACATTGAATATCATTCAAATATGTATGAAATTGTTTCTTTAATTCCTGAAATTGTTCGTTATTAGTAGTTAAGTTTATTTGATATTCATCTGAAATTAGTGGATTATCATCATCAGTATTTTTTGATGGAATATTATCAAAAGATAATGAATGAAAAATATTGCATAGATTAGAAGATGTTTTTTTCAAACCTGAAGGTTGATGAAGAAATAATGTTGGAATTGTATGATATTCTACTGATATAGATATAGTTCAAATATTTTATCTTTAAAAATAATATTAACTTTCTGATGATTTTTCATGTGATTGTTTGTGCTTGATAAGATGACATGGAATATTAGTTACTGTTGTACATGTTGTTTCATTTATAGATCGATTTAAAGTCATAGGTGATGGAATTTGAGAATGAAAATGATGATTATTTTTTCTAATGATTGGAGGTTGAGTTGAGTTTATCATTTGTTAATGAATCAAAATTTAATAGAAATTAATATGATAATTCAAAAGGCGCAAAATAAAAGTATCATGATGACAAAGCATTTTTCTCTTTGATGGAACACATTTTTTATTTTTTTATTTATTGAGAAACCAAAGAAAAAAAAAGTGTCCTACAAACAACGAGGAAAAAGCGATACTCCCGTACTCTTCTCGGCTACAACTCATAATGACAATGCGTTTTTTATGCCATATTTAAAGAAAAAGAATTCAACACTTTTTCATTCTATCTTCGTTTGTATTATTATTTGATAAAAATGACAACTACTAAGAAACATTTGAAATCAGGTAGGAATTTAAAGAATTTTAGGTGCTTTTTTCATTTAATACAAATTAAATTAAATAGATTCTGATTGTCCACCATTAAAAGAAAATCAATTAAGATTATATAGCATGCGTTTTTGTCCGTTTGTACAACGAACTAAACTTGTTTTAGCTGCTAAAAATATTCCGTAAGTTTAGAGAATATTTATTATTATTGATTTTATCATTGAATCTGTTGCAGTTATGAAGAAATACTTATCAATCTTGGTGATAAGCCCGATTGGTATATAAAAAAACATCCAGCTGCAGATGTTCCATTATTAGAATGGATTGATGGTGGTTCAAAAAAAGCACAATCAATACCAGAATCACTTGTTATCAGTGATTATCTCGACAATTTATATAACGTACATCGTCTCCATCCTAATGATCCATTTACTAAAGCTAAACAACAAATACTTCTTAGTAAATATGGAAATGTATGAAACACTTCTACATAATACAATTAAATATATGTATTTCTAATCTTTTTAGGTAATGTCTTCTTTTTATAAAATAGTTCGACAAAGTGAAGGTAATAATATTGAAGAATTAAATAACACTTTAGCTATTTATGAAGAAGCACTTCATGATACATTTTTTGGTGGATTCAAACCAGGAATGTTTGATTTTATGATATGGCCATGGTTTGAACGTTTCCCAGTTATAAGTGAATCTGGTTTTGTCTTGAATGCTGATGGTAAATTACCCAAACTTGCCAAATGGGTTGAAGCAATGAAAGCAAATGAAGTTGTTCAAAAAGTGAAAGTACCTGAAGAAATGATGAAAAAGTTTTTTAACACTGTTCGAGAAGGCAAAGCAGATTATGATATTGAATAGATCTCTAATAAACTATTTTAAAAAGATTTATTATATTCATTTTATTATAAAAAAAAACTAGAATAAAGTTTATTTTCATAAATTGTTTTTTTCTCAATTGTGATGAGCGATACTGTTGTTATTGCTACTTCTACCACTATTGATTCTATCAATTACGTCTACATGTTTGATTTAGTGGCATCATCCAAGTGCCAGCCAAGAGAGAAAACTAATAATTATCATTAAAACGTTTGTCTTTTTTCTTCTGTATACAATAGCGTTGAAAAGACAATATCAGTTGCTTGTTTACTTTTCGTGTCTATATATACATTAGTGTGCGTAAATTCATTGTCCAAGAGGAAAATTAAATATCTTGAGTATGTTTTAGCCAAATGTGCTAATTTTTTTGTTTAGGTAATAAAGGAGAGTTCTAAGCTCTTATTTTTATAAAAGAAGTTCATAAGTTTCTTGCATCATTTTTTTAATTGCTTGTTTTCATAATGTAAGAACATATTCATTTAATAATTCTCATTGTCTTCTTGTATAACAATATTTTACAATAGAAACAAGAACATGACCTGTAGAAATCGCATCAAGTGCAGTACGTGTTTGTTTTTTAAGTGACAATAATTGATTAAGTTCTTTGTATAATTTTAATGAATTTTCATTGACAATTGATGAGTAATCGATTTTTATTATAACAAGTTTGTCAATATCACTCATGTTGGTTATTATTATTGAATTTTAAGATCTCTTGAAATCTGTCATTCATAACATTTTTTTATAGTTTTACAAATATCGTACTGATTAGATTGTACGAAAAGTGAAAAGAAGAAAAACTAAATAGATATCGTTGCTTACAGATATCCAAAAAATAAGTGCATCATTATCATTAACTCCAATTAATTATATTTATGATGAACAAATTTTGTCTATTAGAAGATTTTTCTCATTTAGGATCTATCCTTATTTAATTACTAAAAACATGGAAAATAGTATATGATTGAAATCAAAATACATTTTATTTTCAATTTTGAATTTATCTTGGGTCAGTTGTTATACTCTTTCAATTGCATTTATAGTTACGTAGTAAACCTAACGGAACTAATTACAAGCCATTGTTTGTTTGCATTGAATATTTCTCGATTAATATTTAGTTTTAATCTGAAATTAATAAGGTGTTGACTAAAATGGAAAACCATTTTTCTAGATCAAGTCCATTGATAATATGTAATATCTAGAATAGACTACATTTGATTCAAAGATCCTCTTCAAAAAATATTTGTCTTGAAAAGAAGTTCAATTGAATCTAGTTATTATCAATGACAAATGAACAGTCAATATGAAATAGTCAAAGACTAATTTAAATATTAGTTTATAAATCAGTAAAAAACTATCTTTCAAACATAATATTGAAAAAGAATCTCTTTTACTATATTCTTTCGTCATATTCTATTTTTTATACTATATATTATTTTCGATAACCTACAATAAAAGATGTTCTAGTATATAACGATTCCATCTACGCACACTAATCATCATCGTCAAAAATGGTTGTGTTTGAACAGAACTAAGCCGAATAATGAACTGTAGAATGATATCATAAACTTTTTCTGAGAACAAAATCATATTGATTATCTCGCATTCAAAACAGGTTTATTACCGTTTAATGTTATCATATTTCGATGCAATGATTACGTTCTAAGTAAACGTTAGCACATGATAATAACGAAAATTTGATTGGATTTTATTTTTCTAAAATTATTCTTTTATTCAAATGAATTGCATGTGGCGCTTATTGTCTTTTTGTTTTATAATATCGATAGATATACCCAATAGTTGTTTTATTTTTGTACCAATGATCGAAAAAGCGGACAATCAACATCAACAATTATTTTTATTAAAAGGACGAACTATTGTTAGTTCATCAGAAGCATAGTCAATGAAAATGTTAATAATCCTGATTCAGGTATAAGTTCAAACGATAGTGGAGTTGAATAATATTAATATAAAAGTAAAATTTCATTTTTTTTGTATTATATAGAAAATCGTTCACGATATAACAAAACAACATTATCGACTATATTTGGTTATAATGAAGAAAAAGGATATATTGTAGTATGTCAAGTATTTATTCCTTTTATGATAGCAGCATTTGGTATGGCAGTTGCTGGATTAGTTCTTGAACATGTTCAGGTATCGATTAATATTATAACTCGATGTTTTTTTTATAGTATTTCTATTTAGGAATTAAATGTATTTAAAGAAATAACTGAAATTTATATACTTGTTCCAGCTTTACTTGGTTTAAAAGGAAATTTAGAAATGGCATTAGCATCACGTTTATCTACACAAGTATATAATTAAAATTTATCTCAAAAATATTCCATATAAACTTCTATAATTTTAGGCTAATATTGGAAATATAATTTTAACACAATTACAAGCTATTGTTGTTGATTTTATTGTTGCTCTTGTATCACTTGCTATAGGATGGGTACCTCAAGGACATTTTAATTTACGGCATGCACTTGTTTTATGTAATAGTAGTGTTTCAACAGCATCAATTACTTCATTAGCATTAGGTTTGTAATCAATCTTTTGAAATATTTCACATTTTGTTGCGTATAGGATCAAATAAACAATCTATTCTAAAAGATAATAGAAATAATATATATATCAACACATAATTTTTGTTGATATTTAATAATGAAATGTTAAATAAATGTGTTAAAAAAATATTTTAATATTTTATAACTGTTTCTTCGTTATTTTGCTAAGTTCTCTCTCTCACACAATTATTTTATATTTTTTAAGGTGAGATCGTGATTTTTGTTATTATCATGTGGATTTTTATCTTGAATTATTGGTAAGATCAAGTATAGATTCAAAATTTACATAATAAATTATATATTATTCAGATAATTATACATGGTTACCTATAATGATTACGAATATTTTTTGATTTTAACATCAATTTGGATTATTAACTCTTCTCGAAATGAATATGTTAAAGATGTACTTGTACATGAATGGTATATTGAATGATTTGTAAAAAAAATTATTCTCGTATAAGAAAATAACACAATACTTCAACCTGTTGAGAATGGTAATTATTTATTTGTTATGAAATAAGAATTTTCAATAAATATTATTATCTTTTAGGTGTAGGTGATAATTTGGTAGCTGTTCAAGTAAGTCGATTATCGACTACATTTCATCAACAAGGCAAACCAGGAGAATTTCAAGATATTACACAATATCATGCTTCAAAAATTTGTCCTAATTCATACAAAATATTTTGTTCAACAAGTATATTGTCGATCTTGTTGATTGAATTTTTGATTATTTTATATTTATTTTTCAGGAAGTAATTCATCAACAACACGTGTTTTATTATATCACGATTAGCAACAGATTAAACTCGACTTTCAATTGTTTTCGTCTCTCCTTATCTTATAACAGTACTTATTCAAGTAAAATTATTTTATTGTTTTTACAAAATAAATGAAGGTTATTTCATTTTTCAATAGGTTCCTATTCTTCTATATATTGCTCAGTGGATGGTAATATTTGTATGGAGACATGAACGAGATCCTGATCATGTATGCATTTCAGATTTAACACTAATGGAAGATCTACTTGATGATACTCTTCTAATTTGCGTCTTTCTTTTATTATGCTAATATTTGTTTTTTTGTTTATTCTTATCTCGATGTATATGTCAAAAGAAAAAAAAAGGTCTGGTTATTGTTATTTGATATTATTCGTTTTTGTTTAATAAAGTGTGACGAATTATTTTTTTTTTATAATATCATTGTCGTAGTATCTAGTTTGAATTATGAAGCAACGAATATAATGTTTATGTTAAATAGTTGAGAGAAAATTAACTGAAGAGTTTTTTCTCATTTTATTTTGATTGCATGATCTTGAATCAGTTTGAACCAATACTGAAATAAAATTTTGCAAAATATAAATAATCTGCTCCTCTCTGTCGATCATAAATTACTCAGATTTTAATTTGTTTGCGTACTAATCTATATTAACAGTAAAATCTTGTTCTTAGAATTTGTATAATTCTTATAATATTTAATTATATGTTCTATCAACATTGCATCTTTATTTTCTTTTGAAAAACATAGAATGACATATGAAGAAAGCCTTTTCTGATTATTTAGATTCGATATACTAACGAATTTTTTTTCTTAGATTAAGTATTATTATTCTTATCTATCATTTGATTAAAAAAATACATAATATGTTATCAATATATCTCATCCTACTAGTAGATTTCTTAGTATAGAAAATAAATCATTGATCATCACTAATGTCATATAGAAATTTAAGAAAGAGAACTGACAACTGAATTAGGACCAGAAAGATCAAATACATATATGTAAATGATTTCTTGATTGTAAAGAATAGAAAGTATAATGATTAAACTTTCTTTTTATTTTCTACTAACTTTAACTTCAATAATAGATGTTAGTATGTGTAATATTCATTTTATTAAACAGAAAATAAAAAACAAAAAGCAAACTTATTTTAGTATCATCTATTTCTTGTTATAAATGCTCGTCAGTTAACGGTAGTAATCTATTATGCGAAGATTTCTTTTAGGGTGATATAGAAGGTAAAACTTCATATCTTCAAACTCCATGTTTAGCTAGTTTATGTGGACGTCAAAGTCTTTTTCATGCAATTCATTGTATTAAATTAGTTACTTATTCACCAGGTATAATAAATTCTTATTTAAATTTGAAAAGTTTCTAAACTTTGCTTTTGTTTGATCATTATTAGGCAAATAAACTTTTATTTTATTTATCATAATATACAATAAAATGGTCAAACATGTGCGTTTGTCTATGCATGTTGTGCAGTCACGCATCATTGCTCTTTTTTTCTTCGTATCTTAACAAAATATGATTCATCACTATATACGAACTAAAAAATGGATTGCGTATGCATATATCTATCGTTACATACTCAACAATCTTTTTCTTTGAGTCATTGCATACGAACTAAAAAATAAATTACGTGTACATATATCTATCGTTACATACTCAAGAATCCCTCTTTTCGATTCACCATATACGAACTAAAAAATAAATTACGTGTACATATATCTGTCATTACATACTCAAAAATACCGTCTTTTTGAGTCATTGTATACGAGATAAAAAATAAATTGCGTATACCTATATCCACCTGTACATATAAAAAAATCTCTCTCTCTGCGTCATTGTATACAAACGAAAAAATAAACTGCGTATGCCTATACTCATCGTTACATACTCAAAAATACCTCTTCTCTACTCAAAAATACGTCTTCTCTGCGTCATTGTATACGAGTTAAAAATAATATGCCGACGCCTTTATCCGACTGTATATACTCAAAAATACCTCTCTCTGTATCATTGTATATGAGCCAAAAATAATCTTTGTCCCTCTCTGCAGCCAGATAAGATACTCTCTCTTTGTTTCTCTCCGACGACGACAAAAATAACTTTTTTTCGTACGTTGGCTTTTGCTTGACGATCGGCCTATATAAAGCCGAAGCAATGTCTTGTAATTCATACAACTATATTTATCTTGGATTCTATTCAAGCGCCAAACAAACATAAATTATAATGTACAACATGAATCAAATCGTCTGCTGCATTGCCATTTTGATTGCTATATTTTATATAGCATACAGTGAAGCAATTCAACATCCTGCTAGAAATGATCTTCTACGCCATATAATCAACAGACGTCAGAATGCTGATACTTGTTGTCCTAATGGTTATTGTGAGCCTCTCATTCCTAATTGTGCTCTTTATTGTGCTACTGGCGGTTCTTGTTAAGAACAAGCCAAGTATGTTATCAACACAATTTGTTGATCATAGTTGATTGTAATTTTCTTTTTAGGATACGTAGCACAAACGCACTTCACATCGAAACTCGAATATTCTAATCAAGCACTTTTATTGTCATTATCGGACATTTAAAGTAGTTAGTATTTTCCTTTTCTAGTAGCTTTTAGTTCGTTTGTTCTGTATATATATTCAAGCATTTACCTTTATTTTTTCAAAATTTTTCTATTTTTTTTTAATTTTTAGTATTTTGTCTTGTTTTTCATAATGCTTTTAATTTTTTGTCTTTTTCTCATAATTTTCAGTTCTAATAAAATATACACAAAAAAAAATATAATGATTGTTAGTGTGTTGAGAGTGTGAATGTTTAAAAAATAGATTGGCTCATATATCTTGAAGGAAGTCAAATACAATCTGCTCTTCTCAAATTTTTACTTTTCTGCAATCGATTGTGTTGTTATTGAAGTAAAAAAAATATAATAATCGAAAAAATGTACAGTTGAATACTCAGACGCGTTTCGTATTTTGTGAGCACGCAACCAGTCGTCTTTGCGATCACGTTCACTAATCTTATGTAGTTCATTGTAACTGAACGCCATTAATTTGTGTGTTGATATGGTAGACTTCTATGTTGGTGCCATCTATAAATGAAACTCACTTTTAATTCAAAAAAATTAAGATATTGTAGGTATTAATTCCTACTCTAACACTAACCATTTTTTCTGTGACTCATACTCTATTTTAGATGTCGCCACCATTATTGTATTTGACTTTGATTGGTAATTCCAATCATGCTTCATTTCATCAGATCACATACTGGTTGTTTATTAATATCGAAGAATTTGAAAGACAAAAAAACAAAGACTGAGAAAATCAAAAAATTCAGATTTATTTCAACAAAAAATATTTTTGTAAATTTATTCAAACTTTATCATCTTAGCTATCAAAATCGTACTAACACAAGAAAATTTATACTCTATTTTTCATGGCAAAAATGCTGAAAATAGAAGAATTTCATATACAAATATAGCACTTTGTATGAAATACGATTGTTAAATTTGTTTGTGATCATTTAATGTTATTTCAAGATTTTTAAATCTTTTATTTAATCATTATTGAAATGATTACACAATGAGAGTAATTGAATGTCATTAAAATATGTATGAGATTGCTCGTTATTAATAGTTAAATTTATTTGATATTCATCTGAAATTATTGGATCATCATCATCGGCATTTTTTGATAGAATATTATCAAAAAATATGAATGAAAGATATTTTTTTCAAAGATAAAGGTTGATGAAGAATTGATGTTGGAATTATATGATAGTGTAAAAGGCATCATCATGACAAGCATTCTTCTCTATGTTGAAACATAATGTGGAGTTTGTTATTTACTGAGAAAGGAAAGAAAAATCATGATGACAATGCATTTTTTATGACCTACTTAAAGAAAAAGAATTCAACATTTTCTCATTCTACCCTCGTTTATATTATTGTTTGATAAAAATGACAGGTAATAAGAAACATTTGAAATCAGGTAGGAATTGAAAGAATTATAGATCGTTATTTCATGTAATACAAATTAAATTAAATAGATTCTGAATGTCCACCACTAAAAGAAAATCAATTAAGATTATATAGCATGCGTTTTTGTCCGTTTGTACAACGAACTAAACTTGTTCTAGCTGCTAAAAATATTCCGTAAGCTTAGAACATATTTATTATTATTGGTTTTATCATTGAATTTATTTATTGTAGTTATGAAGAAATATTTATCA